AATTCTTATTAGTTTCACTGAAGCCACATTATATTCTGATAAATTTACTTGATATATACATATGTAAAGCGACTGAGTGCGGCTTTAAGAATTTTGTCTTGGATCTACTACTTCCATTTCCTTCAAGTAGTCATTTTTAAACGCGAATTCTCAAAGAGCTTTCATTCCATTGTACATAATTTGATAAAATTCGGAAACAGCGAAAGACCTGAGTGTATTTGGCATACCGCATTAGGTTGACAGGTCTACCGACTCAAAATCTATTTAAAGTAACAATTCTGTTAGCGTCTACTTTCGCATGGCTTCTTTCCACTAAACTTGTGTAACAAAATACGTGGCATGCTACTCGCTACGTACTTCTTACTTCTTCAGTACGTTTATTCGCTTCCTTGTGTATGCAAATTAACGCCGAGATCGGTGTTAGAGTGGAAAAGTTTCCAACGGTAATCGTAAAGTGTTTAGCACATTCGACCAAATCGCCAGAAAACGTTTCGAAATGTGAATTGAGCACATTTAGCCCTTACCTGAGCTCTACCCTAGACCTGAAAGCTGTTTTGCAACAACCCCTAGGAAACTTGTTTCCCCCCTACAAAAGATCAACTGCAATAATATTTATTTGACCAGTCAACTGTCAAATTCTTTCAAGTACAAATGTAGAAGACGACCGCTTCTTTTCGGCTCCAAAAACCAGAAGCCCAGCTGTAAACAACAGCACGCGAAAAGCATAAAGAAACGAGATAGGTAACAATAACAACAATAACACAACACAGCACAACATCACGATGCCGAAGTAGCAGCAGCGACAGCAACAACAACGGCAACGACAACTTCGGGCAAAGCTCGACTCTAAACCGACAACTTACACTCATTCGCGTTTCAACCTTTGCGCGGCACACTCAACGAACGGAAGTCAGCACAAAGCGTTGCAGAAAATGTAAAAAATTAACAAAACGAAATGAACTAAAATAATTTTGTATTTTATTTGTAGTCGAATAAAACGTGTCGTGTAATAAGCAATAAGTGAACCTTAGCTAAATCAAAAATCGTTGAAGCGCAAACACGAAGCTAGTGACGAAATCCCTCACATCTAACAAACGAACTACAAATAAATGACCCGAAGGGTCTCATTATATTGTTTGACTCCGTATATACGTGTATGTGGATGGGATTGTGTGTCTCTGTGTGTGTAGCGTCTGTTTATGTCCAGCGATTGCGCTTTTGTTTCTGGCATTGGCGGTTGCTGGACGCTTGCGTTCCTAGTGGGTCACTGGAGCGTGCGATATGCCGACCAGGCGCTCAAACAATCGACTAATACAAATGTATGTTTATGCATGCCTGAAAGTGTGTGGAAAGCAAACATAAAAAAGTAAACTGAAAACGAAAATAAAACAACAACACTGAAAATATGGGCGCACAATAAAATGACGAAAATGTCAGCAGGTGTCAATGTCAACGTCATTTGTTTTTCATTTGTGTATGTGGAATTTAACATTGAAATTAAATAGGTTCAGTGACGAAAAGTTATCAAGGGTATTCCTGATTAACTTTAAATTTGCAAATCAGCTGCATTAACACCGCAAAAAATTTGGATACACTAGTCATTAAAACAAGCGAGGAAATAAAATTGATTTTGCAGTAAAACATTTGAATTTACATGACTTACAGTATTTAAAACATCCTTAAATAAAAGTTAACCAGCAAAATCAAATCTAAAGTTTTGATTTACTTTAAAAAAATCGAATCTTAAATAACAAACTAAAGTACTCTTTTGTCCAGCTTCACACACAAAACCGCCCTCTTCCTCTTTGTTCGGATACTAAAATCGGTTTTCAATTATCGTGCAATTTTATTTTTCCGCAATTTTTGAAAACAACTTTTACAAAAGCGCCAAAGCAATTTCACTCCCAACAACGACAACAAATATATAATGGGAAATTGCTTGAGCAAAAAGTAAAAATAATAAAAACCAATCAGACGGCATCAGTTAACAATATTCACCAATGACGGGCGTTTACATTTACAACTTCCGTTTGTTTTGCGTATTTTAGGCACGGCTTGAAGTTTCTTGTGGTTATTACTGTGATTATTGTTGTTGTTGCAAAGAGGTTTCTTTTACCACAAAATTGAAACGCTGAACGCATCACTTTGTCTAATTTCTCAATGAAATGGCAGTTTGTGCCTGCGACCCAGAGAGGGCGAAGCTGCCAACCTCGTTCGATCGCGTCGTAATGACAACCAACGGCAATTAAAGATGCCAGCGACAGCTTTTCATATTATCTGTGGAAACAGTGTGAAACCACCGTTAGCCAGCAGCTGTGACACAAACACATACACAGTATTACAACAACAGTGAAGCTTGTAATTAATAGTTTCCCTTGTCGCCCGCGGACAGGAACAGCAACACACACATACAGATTATTCAAAGCGCAACAAAACTGTCATGCAAAATATTTGCAAGAAGAGACGTTTAAATATTAATTAAGCGCTCTCCAGCTGTGTTGCCAACATGAAGTGTTGAGAGTTAAGTCATTAAAAACCGACCTAATTTAGGAGTTAATGCCGCAGCTATTTGACCCAATTGCATTGCAATTTCTGCCTTTGTTAATTAATTATCTAATTTATTTTTGTACCAACTTTAATTCGACATGCAATCCACACACACATACATGCATGTGTGTGTGTGTGTACACACACTCACATACATAGGTATATATGTACGTACGTACTCACGGTCGCCTCGTTTACAAAACAATTGTGTGAAAATTGCAAATAGTATCTCATAGATAATGTATAAGCAATTGTATTACGTGAATGGCAGCGTTTGAAATGCAGCTACTGCTACAGTGTCGGCCATTAAGCAATGCTCTTCATGCATACGTACACACATACATACAAACATATGTATATTTGTAGGTATGTGTGCTAAAATTTTAAATCAATTTGTAAAAAAGCCGGCGGCTGTCTATTGCACAAAATGGTTTTTTGAAAACATTTAAAAAAAAACATGAAAAAACTCATGCCGCCAAAATGATATGCAAAACGTTTATTTCTCAGCCCGCCCTGCACACAAAATGTTGCAATTTCCCAGGCCTGCACACAAAATGCATTTTTAATTATATATAATAAAGTGAGGTATTAACTGTTTGTCATGCTGTGATTTCTATGGCACGCATTCAATGCTGCTGTTGGTGGGCCAAAAAAAAAATCAAAAGCCAATTTTACTTAACTGGGAGTTGCTTGAAGCGCGTTTTCACCTGATCAGAAATTTCTATTGTTGCTTGGACCCCGGGGCTGGCCAGCGAACATTTTAAGAGCCATGGCCAAGACAAGTAAACTTTTTAACTGAACATTAGAAATGTCCAGCTCCAGGTTGGCAGCCATCAATACAATGAGCTGACGGCATGATGGGTCGGTCGGACAGCAACTAACAATCAACAAGTGTGACTGTGCGACGGTTTGGCTATCTTGCTGTCTTCTGGACGCACTCAAAGATACAAATGTATATGGCTCGTACATTAGCTACAAAATGGTAGTTACAAAATTAGCTAGTTTCTGTATTTTCTCGCATTTTGCGGCTCGTTTAATGCTTCGTCAGTCACAGCGTACGATGCGGCGTCACAGTTGGCCTACGGCTGCGGCACTTGCTCATATTGTGCACTAGCAGATACATAGATACAATTGTATCCCCAGCCAACTAGCCAGTTAGCCAGCATCTCATGTCATCTATTAAGCTGCGCAAGTCACTCCACAGCTCGCCGGTCAGTCCACACATGTTAGTTTCATGTTTCGGCTTAGAATTTCTCCCGTTTTTTTTCTTTTCTGTTTCTTTTTTTACTTTCGACTCTCTTACCCATCATCTTGTAATTTTGATTTGCAAATATTTAACGCCATGTCTACAACATGCCTGCCCTGAGGTCATCTGATACTCGTATGCCAGCTTCAGTTCCTTGTACGAGTGTATGTATGTATATATTTATGTACCTATACGTATCTATGAATGTACATATGTATTTTCTTGCGGTTGTTGCTCCGCCTGAGCATCAAGTGAGTAAACTAAATGACAGCTTTCGCAGATCAAAATGCTGGGCTTGGCATTTGGGTGTGTGCATGGAGGGCAAGCCATCGAACTTGAAGAGTAATGACCAATATCGAATTTATAGATACATTTAAATGTACACTTAAATTTGTTATGTTTATATCACAATAAAGAAAAAACGAGTAAAGGCTGAAAAATGATAAATTATTCAACTTTAATTTGAATTAATTGCTGAACCATCTAAGATCTTAATTTCAGTTTTAAACGTAAGAAACGAAAGTGTATCTGCTTCGACTAAAACTATGCAATTTTGATTTTGGTTCAGCTATCTTATTCAATTGTATGTTATTTTTAAATATTTTATATAATTTGATTTATAAAATTTTTTTCCAAAGAAAAATGTTCAAGTAGTTTTGATTTTTTCATGCAATTTATAGTTTGTTGTGAACTCTTTAAAAATATACGTACCACGAAATTATAAATATACATACATACTTATTTTGATGGCTTCAGGCCCTGTCTTTTGCTGACTTGTGCGACCAACGCATTGTCGCCAGAATGATAAATAAATAATAGCGATGCACCAATATGACCATAGAGCCACTTTTCTCAGATGCTCCGAAAGCGAAACTGAAAATAAACAAATTCAGAATCTCGCTCACACACACACACACACACGCAATCGTATCGAAAAAGTGCTTTATCTTGCCACACCAAGCGCCCTTGCTTATTACATACTCAACGTACATACATACATACATATACTCATACTCATAAGATAATCCCAAATTCTTTGGGCTCCAGTGAAAAATTCTTATAAGCAGGCGAATAGTGAACATGAACAGACGCTCCGAAGAAAACACACACGCGCCCACCCGCTAAGTAAATGAGTTTTTTTTTTATATTTTTAAATTTGTATATCACGCGGGCTGATAAGCGAAAAACAAGGAAAAAATTTAAAACAAACGCTGCTGCTGCGAAATGGCGATAAACTTTTGAAGACGGTGGCACAACAATGGGTGCGTAATTAACAAAAGTGAAGCGAAGTAGTGAATAAAGTAAAGAAAATAGACAAAGAGATGACAAAAATTGCTTGAAAAGTGTTTCGGGCGCGAAACAATTGAGCTCTGCCGCTGACTTGCCCATTCGCCGCCTCCAATACCGGGGATAGGTCGTGTTTCTCGCCTGACACCTGCCTACACCCACATAAGACTACATACACGTATATGTCAAGCCACACACCTATTCCTCACGCTGTCCGTCTCTTCCGTAGCCCTGCAGTCGTGCGTCTCTGTGTGCGTGCGGAAAAAGCTTAGTGGGGCGAACGCAACGCGCAGAAATGTTGTGATAAAAAGTGAGTGTAGAAAACGGTTTGTGTGTTAAGAAGGTTGAAGTGAAACAAAGCGCAAATTAAGAAAATAGCAAATTATACAAAAGCAACAATCGTGAAATGGCCGCCATGCCCGCAGCAACGGAAACTCAAGCAACACCAAAAACAACAATATTTACATGCGACGTCGAGTTAGTCAACAACAACAATAGCGACGTCAGCGCCTTGCACCCGCACCCACACCCACAACTGCAACAACTGCCACGAACGGAGTGCGATTCGGACCAAATTGTTAACACCGGCAACAGTAGCATCAACAACAGGGAAAGCGCTCAGAGCAGTCCTGGAAAACTGAATGGCAGTGTGGACAGCGGCATTGCTGAGGAGGACACACACGCCATAAAACTACGCCACCAACTGCAGCAATGCCAGCGCATACTTGAGGTGCTCAACCGAGATCAAGAGGCATACCAACTGCTGCGCGATAGATTAGGGTGAGTACCCAATACTAAATAATTCAACAATATTTTTATTTAATTTGCCAGAAATTTAAATCTCATTTTGCCATCGCTTATGTAGATATTATAATATTACTATAGTACAGAATCGCGACGAGATTTTTATTTAATTTAATTTATCAGAAATTTCAGAATTTATTTTTATTTAATTTAATTGATCAGAAATATCACAACTTAAATCTCGATTTGCCATCGCTTAGGTACTTGGTACGAGAATCGCAGAGGAGGGCGGTCACAATATTTTTATTTAATTTAATTTATCTGAAATTTCACAATTTATTTTTATTTAATTTAATTTATCAGAAATATCACAACTTAAATCTCGATTTGCCATCGCTTAGGTACTTGGTATGAGAATCGCAGAGGAGGGCGGTCACAATATTTTTATTGAATTTAATTTATCTGAAATTTCACAATTTATTTTTATTTAATTTAATTTATCAGAAATATCACAACTTAAATCTCGATTTGCCATCGCTTAGGTACTTGGTATGAGAATCGCAGAGGAGGGCGGTCACAATATTTTTATTGAATTTAATTTATCTGAAATTTCACAATTTATTTTTATTTAATTTAATTTATCAGAAATTTCACAATTTATTTTTATTGAATTTAATTTATCTGAAATTTCACAATTTATTTTTATTTAATTTAATTTATCAGAAATTTCACAATTTATTTTTATTGAATTTAATTTATCAGAAATATTACAACTTAAATCTCAATTTGCCATCGCTTAGGTACTTGGTATGAGAATCGCAGAGGAGAGCGGCCACAATATTTTTTATTTTCTTTATTTTATCAGAAATTTTGCAATTAATTTTTATTTAATTTAATTTATCAGAAATTCAAAAATGTAAATCTCAGTTTTCCTTTAACTTAGGTACTTGGTATGAAAATCGCAGAGGAGGGCGGCCATAATAATTTTATACATACATTCGCACAAAACTTGTATAGCCTTTCCCCCTTTGGGTGCTTTTTTATAGCATTTCAGCATGAAAAATTCGTATTAAATATAATAAAATAAAACAAACAGTAATTTAATTTCTATAAATATTTCATTTAAATTGGACAAATATAATGGCTACCAACTTAAAGTTAATTATGAAAAGTGAAACTGCAACCAATCGAGAATCAGTGTTTAGTTTCAAGTAAATCATCATTTATGTCAGCAATTTACGACATTTTTATCAAATAAAAGATGACAGAAAGATGACAGAAAATTGAAAAAAAATGTGCAGCTGCCAAGTTTGGATTGCACAGCCAATGGGCTTGGCCAAAACTCTACGCAACCGTCGTCTGTCAATTCCAATGCTGATTTCCTACTTATAATGCTGATTTCTTTAGCTTGATGGGTGCGTTCTGTGCCCACCACAGTCTAGAAGAAGAACAGCAATTGCTTTTTTTATAATGTTTGTTGGCATGTCTGCATGCATTTCATTTCCATTTATGTAAATTGTTGACCCCAAAATGTAATGGTAATTGCTTTAAATGACAAAGAGACAAACCCAACCGATTTAATGTTGGTCTTAAAGCTAGCCATAAACAATGTTTCGTGTCTGAGTTCTTTTTATGACCGACATAGTTCCGGTTGCTCTGAATCACAGCATCTGACAAGCTAACCAGCATTTACGTTTTTCAGCTACATTCAACCTCGTTGTCGTACTTATCCGAAAGTTTTGTTTATACTCGTATATGTATGTATCTGATATCTGTTGCTGTTCTTTATGCTTCTTACTCAATGTCGAGCTAGCAGGAATAATTCTGTACACATGTTTTCTACCTTTGCCATATCGCTTGTAAACGCGCTTATCTTATCACATTTTTTATGCCTTCATAATTAATTTGATTAATGCCAATTAATTGCTCCACATACCTACACGTACCAGTGCAAGTACGAGAGCACGTTCCCAACGACTTTATATTTTCCATGTAAGCACACTCAGTGCCATTGATTTCCGATTTTTTTCCACATAGCCCTCGCAGAGGTGGCATGTGACAAAGCTTCGGTCGCATTTGCATAATGCCCGACTAATTGCAAAGAGACCTCAACTATGTGGAACTGTCGTATTCATCCCTTTCATGTCGATAGAGGCCCGTAACTAAATCGTTGATATGCTTTTTTCTCTTTCTGGTATCTTTACAAGCCGACCGCGATTTATTTGCGCTTATTATGGACGTCGGCTTTAGTCTTCTATTGCTTTTTCCATTGCTATTTCTATTTGTATTTGTATCTGACAGTCAACCGGCTTTGTCGTAGGGCCCTCGGGTCCAGTTCCGCTTTTGTTACTCGCACGCAACGCACACAAAATTAAAAAATTCGAAAATATATATTTTTAAACATAGGAAAAATAAAGAAAACCATTGAAATTGTCTTATTGTTTAACCGGATAACAATACGTTGTAAAAAAGTATTGCAACTAATCTTATGGCTCCATAAGCTTTACTATAATAAGTCGGTTATATTTTTTCATTATGACGTAACAGCTGCAAAATTGTCTTTGGCACTTATCTGTGAAATTTAGCGGCATTTTTACTGTTGTTGTTTCTATAATTTTTCGCGACGGGCCGTACGCTTATCAAATCAACTAAGTCTATATATCGCTCTCCATATACTCGCACTTTTTAGCGAGTAGTCGACTTCTTTATATGTATGTATATTCGTCGTAGCGCTTCGAATAGCTTAATGAACAAACAAAATGAAATGGGTTGATAATCGTATACATACTCGTGCATACATACATATGTGTGTATGTAAAAAATAAATAAAACACTAACTCAAATAAAATAAACAACTGAAACTGCAGAAGCCTGCCGCGCTCACCATCGGAGTCGCAGTCGTAGTCGCAATCTTCGGTTCCATTCGTCAACTTCATTCAGATAGTCAGTTGCGAAAATCAAAAACGAGGTGACCACCCACCGGCGCTCCCACACCTCGGCACCAGCAACGAGCGTGAGAAGTAGACCCATTTCTGGGCAGGCGATACTCAACCAAGGTGCCAGTCAGGGTTGACGTTGATGGCCCTTTCAGAGTGCGCGTGATCTTAATCAGTATGTCGTCGCCGTTGTTGTTATTATTGTACTCGTAGTTTTAGGCACCCGCCACAATATGCATTATACAAGTATAGTAGAGCAATCAACGCGCGCCTCAAATTGTTGATGTCTTTACCGCCATGCGTGTAGGAACGATCACGTCAGCTTAATTACCAACACATTGTTCGTGACGATTGTTTGCTCAAAAAAAAAAAACAAATAATAATAATGCTAATAATATTAAATGTTATTCAGTTGGAAGAGTGATCGATAATTTGTGTACAAAAATTGGCATAAAAAATACTCAATTTGGGTAATTACCTGTTTGAAGTTTAACCGTCAAGTTCGACTGTGCGCAGCTTGAACGAAAAGAAAATAAACAAACAATATAAAACAATAAAAAATATATATTTAAATCTAAAAGATTCGCTAATGTCAAGCCAAGTGAATACAATGCAAAACTAATACATTGATTAATGCGTTATGCTTAAAAACTCACAAAACTTTGCTAAACCCAACTTACGTAATACCAATCTTACTGCAGTGCTAACAAAGTTGAAACAAAAATGTACTTTTTGATAACCACGATAGCTTTAGATAAGAACAAACGTGTAGCTTCGTGCATTGAAGAAATCTGTCTAATCTAAACATAAAATACTTACATTCCTAGAACTACGATTATGTGCATATACTATACTCGTACATACGAATATGTACCTATGTATGTAGTATACATATGTATAAAAGAACAAAGAAAAGCAATTAGCAAATCTACCGAGTCTGATAGCAAATCATATACGGCTAAAACAAAGAATATCTATTAATGAATAGATTACCAACAAATTAAGAAAATAAAATAAAAAAGTATTGGAAAAACATGTCAAAGAAAAATATTAAAGATAGTGACAAATTTGAAATTCCATTTCAAACGTGTACTCTAAATTCGTTGCATTTTTCTCAGTTTAATTCAACTTGAGTTTTACTTCATACAGTCATTTCAGTAACTTTTTAAAGGTACAACGGATGTCACTCCGTCAAATAGTGTGGACATTTAAAAAGCATGCGACAAAAACCTAAAGTTTTACAAGTTCCATTCAATATTTAATTAAAAACAATACACACATCTAGATAAAAAAATTAAGTTTCCGTGATATAAAACAACACCAAAAACGGGAGTACAATATTAAACAGCTTTCATTACGAAAACGCTGAAACGCATGAAAATGAGAAAATCAAAACAAAATAAAATATCTGTAAAAGAATTCAAAAATGTCAACAGACCTGATTAATCTTAGCAAATTTTTTCTTGATAGTAAAGTTAAAAATAATGTTGATAAGTGTATAAATAATGTAGACAAAATAATCAAAGCCATTATCAAGCTGAAGATAATTCCATGGAATAGTAGCAATAGTGCGTAAGGCACAAAAGTTCAGTTTAATCGATTTAAGAACTTGTGAATGTTTTGTGAGTTCATGCAAGCGCATTAGTTTGAGTGTTTTAGTGTCAAAAATCTATATAATCTAAAACCAATAATTCCCATCTGAAATAATGAAAACTTCACAGTTTCATAAATATTTTACGCGCCCATCCGTTTGCATCATGGAAGTGCCAATTTATCGTGGAAACAACCTGTTCCTGGGCCTCACCACCGTTGTGGGCCTAATTGGCGGTGCCTATTTGGTCCAACACTTTATAGGGTAAGAGTCAAAACAATTATGATTGCATTGCGACGATTATATGTTTTTGCTTTAAGTTCTGGTCAATAAATCTGCAAGCACGTGCTAACGGCTGTGGCACCTGCAGTTCGGATTCGTTTCTATTACGTGTGTGCTTTGCTTTTTGCAATCTGTCGACAATCCAATCTTGTCACGTTTGCGTGTGAAAAAGTGAAAAACCTGGCGATTTAAAAAATTTCACATAAATAGTGATTTGATATAATTGT